GCAAAAGTGCCAAATGGGCATGTGAAGGTTGTTTTCTCTTGGTCCTCCGGGGCTATTGGAATTTGGAAATACCCGGAGTAACCATCGAGAAAACAATAGAACTTGTGCCCGGCTAGCCTCTCTAGAATTTGATCAATGAAGGGTAAAGGAAAGAAATCTTTTCATGTTACCGAATTGAGTCTTCGGTAGTCAATGCAAACGCGCCACCCATTTTGAACTCGGGTGGGCACCATCTCGCCTTCTTTGTTCTTAATGACCATCACTCTGGTCTTCTTTGGCACAACTTAGGTAGGACTCACCCACTTGCTATCGGAAATGGGAAAGATGATTCCCATTTGTAGCAGCTTGATCACTTCTCTTTTTACCACCTCCATCATGGGTGGATTCAATCTTCGTTGCGGTTGCCTCACCGCTTTGGCCTCATCTTCAAGCAAGATCCAGTGCATGCATGTGGATGGGCTAATGCCTTTGATGTCGGCAATAGATCATCCAATGGCCAATTTGTATTCTTTGAGGACCACAATTAATCTCTCCTCTTGTTCTTGGGTTAGGGCATTTTAGATAATCACTGGTAGAGTGTGATTTTCACCCAAGAACACATGCTTCATATTTTCAGGAAGTGGTTTTAATTCCAGCTCCGGTGCCTGCAAAACATATGGTAGCGGCTTCTCGCTCGGAATGGTTAGTGGGAGGGCTTTAGAGCCCGGTGGCAAAAGTGGGAGTTGATTTAACTCCGCCACCACAACCTTCATGCTATTTGACATAGAGTATTCCAAACTGAAATCCTCTATGTCGCTTTCAATTGAGCTTAGTACTTCATCTTTCCCCTCAACTTCAAACACATCTTGGGCCCAAGTGTCGCAAGTGTCAATCGCAAAAAGAGAGTGATTATCGATGGGGTATTTCATGGAGTCATAGATATTAAATTCGACTTTTTCACCATCGAATTCCATGGTTAATACTCCACTAAGAACATCAATTTTTTCTTTGTCCGTTTTCAAAAAGGGTCTGCCTAATAAAATTGGGACTGCATTTTTATCGTTCTCCATTTCAAGAACGTAAAAATCAGCGGGAAAGATTAAGTTATCCACCATGACGAGTACATCCTCTACTACACCTTTTGGGTAAGCATTGGATCTATCGGCAAGTTGGATAACAACCCCCGTTTCATGTAAAGGTCCTAGTTCTAGGGACTTATATAGAGAATATGGAATGACATTGATTGATGCACCCAAATCTAACATAGCCCTAGAAGAACTAGAATTTCCAAGTTTGCATGGTATAGTGAACATTCCCGGGTCACTATACTTTTTAGGCAGATTCTTTTGGAAAACGGCCGACACTCTTTCACTCACATGGATTTTATGCTTTCCATTTAATTTGTGTTTCCTTTTAATCGTGCAAAGCTCTTTTAAAAATTTTGCAAACCTAGGAACACCTTTTATTAAATTCAGAAGGGGATATTTACCTCGCATTTTGAGAAGGCCTCATAGATGTCCTTGTCATTGTTGTATTTGCGGTTGTCCTGGAGAGCCTCCGGAAAAGGTGACACCGGCTCGTATGAATCGAGCAGTGGGAACTTTCTTTGAGGAATGATATACTCCTCTTTCTCTTCTTCATTTTGAGGATTTGTGCTTTGCACCAAGTGATCCTCTTCTTCCTCTCTAACATGGCTCTTTGCTTTTGCTTTAGCCATAACCAATTCTTTGACACTTCTCAAAGTGACCGCATGAGCTTGTTGCCTTGGATTCGGCTCCGTTTGAGATGGGAGTTTTGCCGAATCCTTAGCTTCAAGCCTACTCATGGCATTTGAGATTTGGCTCATTTGGCTTTCCAAGTTGTGGATGCTAGATATTGTTGTTTCTTGAAATTGGGCCACACTTTGGTGCATCGTAGCCATGTTCATGGCTAGTGCTCAAATCATGTCTTCGGTGGACATGTTCGAGTTTGATGTTTGGCCTTGTTGTTTATATTGTTGAGGAGGAGGGTTTGATTGTTGAGGAGGTTGAGATTTTCCGTACCTTAGATTTGGGTGATCCCTCCATCCCGGATTGTAAGTGTTTCCGTGAGGATCGTACCTCCTTTGACCTTGAAACCCCAAAGCATTGACTTGCTCGGAGTTCTCCTCTTGTAGCGTTGGGCAAGAATCGGTGGGATGCCCTTGTGTCGAGCATATGCCGCAGACCTTAACTTCTTGGGTTTTTGGATTTAAGAGGAAATCTATAACCAAAGAAGTCAAGCCGGCCACTTGACTTTCCAACGAGTTGTTGGATTCCGCCGCCATGACTCTCTTTGTTGACCGCCGATCATAGTGTCTACAATTTTTGGCCAACTCCGAGATAAGATTCCTAGCTTGAGAATGAGTTTTGTTGACTATTCCTCCTCCACATGCGGCATTAATCATCCGTCTATCATCATCGCAAAGACCATCATAAAAGTAAAGGATGAGGTCTTGCTCCGAATAGCCGTGATACGGGCAGCATGCACAAAGTTTCTTGAATCGTTCCCAGAATTTGTAGAACGATTCATCATCTTTTTGCTCCACATTGCTGATTTGTTTCTTTAGAGATGAGGAGACTAAGGCAGGATAATACCTTTCGAGGAAGCACTTCTTCATGGCCGCCCAAGTGTTTTTGCTTCCCGAGGGAAGATAGAATAGTCAATCTTTGGCGGTGTCTTTGAGGGAGAATGGAAAGGCCCTCAACTTAATTTGCTCCTCGGTGACACCGTTCGGGCACATGCTTGTGCAAACGATGTGGAACTCCGAAAGATGTTTATTCGGATCTTTATATATTTGAAATAAAATAAAAAGAAAATTTAATTGCCTTTCCCCGGCAACGGCGCCAAATTTGACGTGCACTTTGTCACGGTGCGTCAAAATAAATTCAATACTAGCACAAATACGTAATATAGCGCAGTAGAGTTCGTATCCACACGGAAAGGAATACTTCTCTTTTTATAAAACTATGTGAATAAAGGGGGGGGGGGTTTGGATTGAATGATTTAATTTAATTAACACTAAGATGAACGACTTATATGAGATTTAATTCAAAGATAAAAAAGGACTTGGCCTTGCTACTTTCCACTTGTTGATATATTTTAGTCAATCATTGTTATATCTATAACTTATCCCCTCTCGAATACTCAATCGAGGAGTATATCCAATTCATCGAGGGTAGTTATTAACAACGACCGTTCATTAATAACCCTTACTATTAATCAAATATAGAACAACGCCTTATACCGATTTAATAGTAGCATTTAATCTTTCTAACTCCTTGATGAAATCAATTGAGATTGATAACATCAACACAACGGTTTTGGTTTAACCAACAAAATTGATCCCTCTCAAGTTTATTAACCACAATCGTGCATTAATAAACCGAAGTTACTTACTTGTGAAACCATCAACGATTAACCATCGGTTCGTTTATCATTTCTAGTAGTAATTAATATTGGAACGTTAACTAATCGTCACTTAGCAACCCTCCAACATTAATATAGAATGAGATTAAGGGAAGAATTAATAATCAAGAGAAGAAGTTAAGAAAATAACTCACAACTTTAATAATCAACAAGCTTCAAGAGCAAAACCAAGAAATGAAAGTTTAGCTCCTGATTTGGAGACTAAACATACTAGAAAAATATAAAGAAATACTATTCTAAACTGAGCTTAAGAGTATATGTGAATTGGTGATCTAATTGTGAAGGAAATGGGGTGTATTTATAGGCTTTTGGGGATGCAGCTCGGGTACCCGATCGGGTATATACACGGTACCCGACCGGCTATGTGTAATACCTCAGATTCGAAGTATACTCGATCGATTATGGGGTATATTCTATAAGCATACCCGATCGGGTGTAGACTTGTACCCGATCGAGTCTGTGTAGAACCTCATATCCGAGGTATACTCGATCGACTTCAGGCTTAGTTCAGAAGGGATACCCGATCGGGTGTGTCGGTGTACCCGATCGGGTACTGACACTCGATCGTGGTCAAAATCTTCCCTGCATGTTCCTTTGTCTTCGGATCCGATCCGATTTGAAATTTCAACAAGATACCCGATCGAGTATAGGTCATACCCGACCGGGTATAGACCAAAAAATCATGATCTTCCTTTTGGCTTGTGATTTTGCACCTTCCTACCACTTTTTGGGTTCACCAACTGTCCTTTGAGTGATAATAGACCTGTTTGAGCTCAGAATGAACCTAATCTAAACAATTTACAAGAATTTAATACACTAAACTATTACACCAAAAGTGTGTAATTTCCACCGTGAAAATCAATCAAAACTAATTAAAAACACAAACATACATATGGAAATTATGAACGTATCAGTCAACACGCAATTCTAACTCTTGTGTGTTTATGCTTGCTTGAGCTGGAGTTAGTGAACCTTCCTCTTCAAAGATTACTGTCTTCTCTTTTTGTGCAACTATTGGATTCGCATCCTCACTTTCAACTTCTTTATTGTGTTCATGCTCTGCACTCTCTGCCGCTTGTACGATTTGTCCTGCACTCTTCTGTGTTTGATCAAGATGTAGGTCAAAACTAGGCATGTCTGGTACCAAATCCTCTTCATCTACCCTTGTGTGAGATGTTTCATCCTTATCCATGCCCATTTCTTGTTCCTTCTTTTCAGCTTCTCCATTTGATGTGCTTCTTGTAAGCATTAATGCTTTTAGCATATGTGTTTGCTCCTTTTGACCATTGCGAAGTCTTTGCATTCCATCTTCCAACACTTTTATTCTAGCCCAAGCGTTTGGGTCTTCTTGGTTTGGAGCACAACTGCAGCAATTATATTATGCATAATGACCTTGTCCCTCATTTGATTCCCAACATTGTTTCTTGTCTTCACCAAACGTTGTAATCTGTGAAGTCCTCTTACTGTTGCACTCTCACCATTTTGTTCTTTCATACCCACATCTTCTTTATGGTTGCAGTCAGTGGGTTCACCATCAGTGGGTTCACCATGAACTTCATGATCATTTTGGTTCTCTGAAATTGCCTTTTCAAGTGCATGAATAGCAAAGCCTGTTTCTTCTTTTGATAGGTGATGCTTCAAAGTAAGATTGCCTCCTTTGGGTAACTTTACTGCCTTTTTTCTATACAACTCCTGTATTTCTAGAATCTTAAGTTCCTCTTCAGTTGGTTTCATTGGTTGATACTCAAACTGTATGAAACAAAAAAAAAGTTGCAGTGCAGACAATAAAGTAAAATAGACAATAGAATAAAGTAGACAATAAAATAAAGTTACCTCTTCATTCTGAAATATGGCATCTGCTAGTGTAGCAATGTTTGTCTTTTTTGGTACTGACCACTTCAACAGTCTTGGCCACATTGATCTTCTGCCTTCCTCTACCGTACAAACATTTGCTAACCTAAGAGCCGGGAAGCTTTCAAATGCCCATATTTGCAGTGCAAAAACAAAACCTCGAAAGGTGAATCTATCTTTTGTTGCCTTTATAATATTCTGTGTCCACTTAGGCACTTTTTCCAATAAATCTCTCCACATTTCATCTCCCCATGGATATTGCTTCACTAAATCCCGATCATCTACCATGTTGATGTACATTGGTGGACATTTCACTGACTTCTGGTTCCCAATGAAAAAATTTGCAATCAAATTAAGTAGTGCCAGCTTAACCCTATCTATGGGTTCCTTTTACACAGGTATATTATCAAACTTCTCAAAAGCCCTTGTTATATCAGCCCTTGAAACATTAGTCCTTCTCTTAAAAAATCTTTTCCATATGTCACCTATACTGTCATCTCCAGGTACTATAGGCTTCTCTCCTCCCATCTTAAATCCTGTTATTAATGCCAAATGATTTTTTCTGAAACTCACCACCCTATTTCCTATATGGAAATTAATCCTGTCTGTCCAAATCTTCTTGTTAAGCTTTTTCACATGGTTTTCAACTAGTGATACCAACAACTGTCCATTCATCCATTCTAGATTACACATGTTCAACAGTCCTCCAAAACTTGTATTTCTAAATTCTTTGAGTTGCTCTTCATTTAACATCTTCTTTATGACTTCAATGGCATTATGCACATTTGAATAACAATTCAGTTTAATCTTCTTCTTTGTACACAAAACAGGGTTTGCAATTGACCTTACAATTGCCTGGTCATAATAAGTGTATAAGTATTATAATCGTTTGTGAACAAATAACATGATTAACAATATCTCATGTATATATTGTCTACCAACTACACACATATAATTCCTCACATATCTACCTCTTTGTCCTTTTTTTATTCATTTCTTATATAATAAAATAAGATATATGTAAGAGAAGTAGTCAGTAAGAGAAGTACTCATACAATCAATGGAAAATTATACAAATAGGACCAAATCTATTACTGAATACAAATAGGAACTGGATGATTGTATTTGGTCAAATATCAATAACAACATGTACGACAAGTAGTCATATAATGATTTTCAATAACTTTTACACATTTATTGACAATTTCATATGAGAAGTAAACAGTAAGAGAAGTAGATAATTTCAGTTGCATATTTCATCATAATCTCCCAAAATTGAATTGAACAACTTACTTCACCAGACGGAAGAACAATTTCAACGTTTTCAATGTTTTGCGCCTTTGATTTGTTGGGGCTCCTTGTTTTGAAATCACAGTCAGATTGACCTTCTTCAACTTCTTCAGTTTTTTCAACGTGTTGAGCCTCTGATTTCTTCTTTCTCTTCGCCATTCGTTTGACTTTATTGACTCCTTCGTCGACTGTAGTAATCGCGCGGCGTTGCTCTGAAGGAGAAGGTTGAAGTTGCGGTTGAAGAAGGTGAAGTGATTTTTCCGTTGGGAAGTTATGGCGTGAAGTTCTGGCGTGCGGGAAGTTTTTAATGTTTTTGGGGTGCGGGAAATGGTTTGCGGCAGGGTGTTTACACGTGGTGCCAGAGTTTTAAAAGTAACGCCATAATGGTCAAATTGATTGTACTTATATCCTACGGATGAATGGAGTCCTACTTTTGGAAATTTCTTATGTTTGTCTCCTATTTGTATAATTTTCCCTTTTAACAATGCCCTATATTTGTAAAAAAAAAGTACTTAATGACCTGATTTGGGTGGTAAGCCCAAGCCATGGCTATTGGGCTTCATGAACCCGGAATCCGATTTATATTTTACTACCCATAAATCCATAATCCATACACGTTCTTGATGTGACTAAGCAGAAGACAAAAAAAATCAAAATTCGGCTGAAGTTAGCAATCCCAGAGTGACAATGGACACAGCGGATCCAGATCGATCTCCAGCAAACGCCACTCCCGCCGCTACTGCTACCACCACTGATGACCCGTTAAACAATCCCTACTACGGCTCGCTAAACGATCATTGCCACGATCTCGCCGTCCTGCAGGACCTGGCCTGCCGAGGGGCCTGGCGGTCGGTCCTCGACAAGGTCGGCCACGCTCGTTCTCTTTCCCTCCTCACAAAGCCTCATGAGCACCTCATCTACCTCACTTACAATGTCCTTGCTCTCACGAAGCTCCGCCGCTTCCCCGACGCCAGCAACGAACTCAATGCCGTGCTTGAAGGCGACGACTTTGAAAGCCCGCAATACCTATATGAAACTTACCCTAATCATTACCCCAATTCCAGTGGCTCCATGGTCCCCTTTGCCCTCCGGTGGATCCACGCCCATCTTCCCTCCGCACTAGGCCAACGCCATCAGGCTCTAGACCGCCTCTATTCCCTCCTTGATTTCATTCGTTCCAAAAAACTAAATACTAACGCATTGTCGTCAAGGTCTAATCTTTCCCAAGGTTTGTGGAGGAAGCGCGAATGTTTTGTGATGAATACTATAATCAGTTACCACTTGAGTCAGAAGGAGTTCAAGGTTTGTTTTGATTTGCTCAATGAATTGATCGGGAAAAGAGAGTGTGGGAATGATCCCTTCTTGTTGTCAAAATTAGGATACGTTCAGATGCAGTATGGGGATGTGGATGGTGCAAAAAGGACATTTAAAGCAGTAGAAAATGAGATAGAAAATGACAGTGACCTGAGGTTGAAGAATTTAGTGAGCAGGAACACGGCATTGATATATATACTAGGAAAAGACTATGCTTCTGCAGTGAGGGAGTATGATCAATGCATAGAGAGGGATGGGGGGATGGATATAGTTGCGCTAAACAACAAGGCATTGTGTTTGATGTATTTGAGGGACTTGTCGGATGGGATTAAAGTGTTGGAGAATGGCTTGGAGCGAGTTCCAACGGTAGCACTGAACGAGACTGTGGTGGTTAATCTGTGTAGTATGTATGAACTGGCATATGTCAACCATGTTGATATAAAGAAGACTCTTAATAATTGGATTGCTAGGGTTGCTCCGGATGACTTTGATTCGGCTTGCACCCGGATATGAGGTGAAGTTATATGCTTAAAATTATTATATATTGTCATTGTTGAATGCATTACATTATCATACGGATTGTACTTTCGGTTAAACCTGAAACCCGTCTTCTCATGTTCTCTACTAAATTCGCATAGTCATACATGTTTGTTCTTGGTCCAGTTTGAAAAGCTTAGATGTTCACTTTGTATGTTTTATAAACATGTATGAACAGAAAAGTTAATTGCAGGAATGTCATATTATCATGAATTCAGGATAATAAAAGCATATTAATGACACATGAAACTACGAAGTAAATTGTTATCAAATGATTAAATGTCCAAAATATCTTTTAATTAAATAATGTTTGTAAAGTGTGAGGCGGTGGTTTGTCTGGATTTTTAATTTAAGAGCTTTAAGCATTTCTCAAACACGACAGAAAAGAGAACAATTGTTGATATTGGTTGCTTGGATTGGATGTTTCCAAAACTTCGAATAGCTGTTTTCTAGAAAAGGTTCATGGAAGGCTTTGAAGATGATTTAGGTAGTATAATATTCTGATCATATTCAATAAATAAGTATGAATTATTGATCGTTTAGATTAAAAACACAACAAGAACTGTTGATCGTTGAATACCAATACACCATATAAAACGACAGGTATACATGTTTAATGTCATCACAAGATAAAACCGAAACCCCCAATTAAAGATTGCTTGTAGTGGAAGATCAAGTCTGAGCCAAGCCATCATCAGCTTGGGGCAATTGAAAATGAATAACGGGATGAACGAAGCATACTATGGACAACTTGGTCCAAACACAAACTAGAACTCAAACTTGAGTTACAGGACAAACAATCTCCCTTTCTTTTTGAAAGAATATTCTTAATTCCTCTTCATCAATAATCATCCCACGTACTCATTCTCTACAGGCATTTCTTTTTATATAGAAAACCACAACCCATTACTTCAATCAAATTACAATCTTAATCCCTGAAAAATCTAATTAAAACCAAAAGAATGGCAAATAAAGAAAAGGCATCACAGATTGTGTTTTTTGACCTGGAAACCACAGTGCCCAGGAAAAAGGGGCAGAAATTTTCGGTGCTAGAATTTGGTGCGATTGTGGTCTGCCCGCAGAGGTTGGCAGAGATGGAGAGCTACTGCACACTGATCAGGCCAGGGGACTTATCTGTTGTGGGGGTGAGATCGGGCCGATCTGGTGGAATAACACGTGGGGCCGTTGCTGATGCTCCCCCATTTGAGGAAGTTGCAGAGAAGATATTCAACATCATGGATGGCCGGATATGGGCAGGGCATAACATTCAAAGATTCGATTGTGTTCGTATTAAGGAGGCTTTTGCTGAGGCTGGCCTCTCTCCGCCTGTCCCTGTTGGCACCATCGATTCCCTTACAGTTTTAACAGGGACATTCGGAAGAAGAGCTGGAAATATGAAGGTATATATAAGCTTAAGTATATTAATTTTGTCATGCAAATAGAGCTTTTCTTTGTTTAAGGTCCCTAAAAAGTTTCTCCGTATTTTTTACCATCCATCTTTGAATTTATACACACACCCTTCCAAATAGTAGTATAAGTTACATTTGGATTTGGAATGAATTTTTAGAAATAAAGCAGATAGTTTTTGTTTTGCAATTGTGATCTTCTAAAAGAAAAAAAGGTATTATGAGTCGATAAAAAGTAAAAGGTAAATTTATAGATAAAAGGGTAAAGCGGGAGATTGAAATATTAGTGGAGTTTAAATTATGAGAGATCATAAATCTTAAATTTGGATAGACTAAAAATGGACGTATGGATGATTTATTTTTGTTTTAGTACTTATACATCAGTGATACCTTGGGTAAAGCTGATGTGGAAAGACTAAATCTGGAATTTTGGTCCACGTCAAATTTTAATGGGCGAACTAAATAGTCATGTACTAAATGAGGTATGGAAAAAAAGATTATGTTTAATTATTATTTTTAAGGAGAGAGATAGAGTGAAAAAGAAATGGAGAGAGTAAATGGAGATAAGGAAATGGAGAGGAGTATGGCCCCTAAATGATTCACCGGAATGTGTATGTTTGTATATATACCTGGGTTGTGGTGCGCTTGTGTGATTGGGATTAGTACCCCCTCTATCATACGAGTATGTCTCATGTAAACATAAATGATTTTTATAAGAGAGAATTCCCTAAAGAATGAATGAGTAAATTATAAGTATGAGACTTTCAAATGACAAATATATGACCTTTTTCCCGTTGGACACATAAGTGAGTAAAGTAGATCACAAATACCCTTGCGTAACACCAACGCATTCTCTCTTCTTAGCTCCTATTGTTCTGCCCTCATCTGCACTCCAGACTTGAGATACGGAGCAACTACAGGGGAGGTTCAAGGTCGCGACTCCAATGAAGACGCAGAAGCAGAGACATTGGAGTTCACCTGTGTTCGTCAAACAAAGCTGCCATACTCCACCGCGTGCAGCCGTTCACGTTCTCCCACTAAGCTGTCGTCGCCACATTTCTTCTTCTCCTCCTCCTTTCTTCTCATCTGCGACTCTATTATCTCCGCTTTGGAGCACATCCGTCGTTGTCTGTAGATTTAGAGATCTGAGTGGCTAGATTTCCAGATCTGGTCGGCTAGGGTTCCAATTGGGTGTGCGCCGGAGTGGACCGTGGTGGGGAGGTGGGGTGGTCACTAGAAGCGCGGAGGTCACGGGTGATCGGAGATGCTGGTGGTGACCGTTAGTGGTGGTTGTACGAGGTGGTGAGTGGTGACCATTGGTGGTGGTGGTTACGATGATGGTGACGGCTGTGTCACTATGACCGCCGGTCAGCGGTGTCACTGTGGCGGTGACACTATAGTGATGTCACTGTGTCGAAGTCATTTTGGGTGATGAGCAATCACTGTGAGCGGTAGGGCAGTCACTGTGGCCGATGGTGGGGTAGTCATTATGGTCGGTGAGACAGTCACTTTGGCCGAAGTCACTTTGGCCTAGGGATGGACCCGGGCCGGTCCGGTTTCGGTTCCGGGCCGGGCCCGGGCGGGCTTTTTTTGCAAATCCTTGGGCCTGGAACCGGCCTGGGTTGATACCGGGTCCGGGCCTAATCGGGTCGGGCCCGGTTCAATGTCTAATTTTTTTTTTCTTTCTTGTTATCCCCCGACCCCCCCCCCCCTCACCCCCACCCCCCAAACCTCCCCAAAACACCCAGCCCTACCATAGGAAAAGAAAAAAATGAAAAAACAAAAAAAAATGACCCGGACCCGGCCCGAACCGCCCGGGCGGTTCGCCCAAATCTGGGCCCAAGCCGGGCCCGCCCGACCCGCCCAAACGGGCTAAAAGCCCGGAACCGGCCAACCGGTCCCGGTTCAGTCCATCCCTACTTTGGCCGGAGTCACTTTGCACTAGAAGGGTTAATTGTGATGTTGGTCACATTTTTGGAATTTTTAAAAACATACTACTATCACTTTTTTGTCTTTTATCTAGTACTCCCTTGCTGAAATTTTAATTGCCAAAACAGGATCATAACTTAAAAATTCCCTAAATAAGACTAGCTTTGCGATTCTACCCTTGCTTTGTTTTAATATAATTCATACTTCATTAATAATTAAATTATAAAAGTAATAACATAACTTTGTTTATAATAAAAATGTTAAAAAAACAAAAAAAAACATGAAATAAAAATTATTTAAAATTAATAATAATAAAAATCGAAAAATAAAAAATTATAAAATAAAAAACTTTAAAAATAAAAATAAAATAAATTAAAATGTAAAAAATAAAAAATAAATATGTAGGCCTATGCTGATGCCTCAGCAACCTCTCAACACTACCACCTCCGATCATCGGGAGAAACAATGCAAACATGTGTTCGAAATGCCATCTTTGTGGCAGTTTTCGAGATTTTTTTTGCCATTTTCAAGAGCAAAAATGTCATCTCCATGGCATTTTCAGTGAAAAAATGGTAGTTTTTACATAAATGGCTTTTTTTAGCCGATGAGAGGTAGCGTTGTTGGGCAATAGCCGAGACTGTGGGAAAGGCCTCCCTCTTTTTAAAGGTTTTTTATCTATGTTTTATTTGTATTTAAAGATATTTATTTTTTTATAATTTTTTTTAATTTTTACTCCCTCCGTCCCTTAAAACTTTGCCATTTTTCCTTTTTGGGACGTCCCAAAAAACTTTGCCACTTTCCCTATTAATCAATTATTTTGTGGTTTCTGTTATTTCTCTCTCCTCTGCACAAACCTTAATCACACAGTTTTTACTTTATTATTCTCCGTGCCAGTCAACTTTGGTAAAGTTTTAAGGGATGGAAGTAGTATGATTTTAATATTTTTTAATTTTTTTTTTTGAATTAATAATTTTTTACGATTTTTTGTATAAGTTAATTTTTTTTTTTTTATTTATTACAAAATAAAATATGATTGTCCTATTAAGTTATGGTAAGGGTGGAATAGAAAGATAGGGTATACTTTTATCCTATTTGGGGAAGATAAATAATATAGTCCTATTTGGGCATTTAGGGATTAATTTAGTCCTATTTAGGACTATTATTTCTTTTTATAAAATTAAAATTAAAATTGTATATTGAAAACAAATGCGCGAATTAAAACATACTGTAATTGAAACATATTGTAACAAGTAAAATTTTAATTAATTAGCTAAGAGCATCTTTAATGCTACACCGTTAACACGGAAAAAAATTTGACATATGGCACTCAATAAATGGAATAGTCATCCACCTCATAATATTGAAGTTATCTAGGAGGACATTGAAACCCAAAAATCAAGTCCAATGTTTAATGCCAATCGCCCATGTAACAGCTATACGTGTAAGCCATTTTTAAAATTAAAATAGCACCTCATACGTACTAAATGCTTCCAGGATCCGCCTACTACTTTTGAGATAACAATCAATTCACTTCTTTTAAACAAAGTTTCGTAGTTTTTGGTTGGATTCTTGGATAAAGCGAATTGTAAAATTCAGGCAATCTTTTGTCAAAGCCGCTGCAATTTTCTACGGAAAGTTCAACAACCGTGACCCACTAGACTGCATCCGGCCACTAGAGAAATCGGTCACCTTTGTTGATCTCCGTTTATCTCTGCGGCTTTACTCCAAAGGGGACTTTCAGAGGTTTACTCTGGAGGGGAAGGTGAGATGAATACATTTTTTGCTGTCAAATATGTTATGAGTGAGAGAAGTTACCAAATTTTCTATAATTTTGGCACTATCTCCCTCACGTTTGCTGAGTCACACTGTGAAGGGCGATATTATCTCATGACAGTGACTCAAACAGCAATACATGAGGGCGAACATCCTCCGTTGGAAACGAAAATTCTACGCCAGTGTTATATACGAATGACATAGCAATTCTTTTAATGCGAACAGTTAGCGGATCGGAGATGCTCTAAACCGGTCAAATGTCTATAACTCTGACTTCACAATACCAAGTAAAGCCCTGTCTCTGACCCCACATGAAACCACCTTCTCTAGTTGGTCGGGCACCACAAATCTCGACTTCATCAAACCTTAGACTATTTTTTGTCCTATTCTTGTCCGGTCAAAACTTGGTAGTTTTAGGTTTTGATTTTAACACAAACTTTAGGTTAATTCCTTTCTAGGTTACTGTGGGAGAAATTTGACACTCCAACATGCGGAGTAATATACCTTTTAAATGACATTTTGTTAGTAGAACATATAATAAGACAAGCAAGGGAAAAACACCAAACAAGAAATTGACAATAACGCATTCAAAGTTTGTCATTTTATGCCAATGAGTGCAAAGCAATTGCATGAAATATTTAAAAAACATTAAACTAGAAATGATTTATAAGGAAAAATGACGAACAATAACAATGAAATAATTCATACAAGAGTATATTGTAGCGTTATAATGAAGCAAGGGAAAAACAAAACGAAAACCCGCAAAATGTTCTCAAGAAAAGAGAATGGTGTTCTGAAATTTGATTGGCTACCACAAAACATTACAATAAAAAGGTCAATAAGTCAAGTAGTTTGTGGTTTAATGACATCATTGATGATCTCCTAAAAAGGAGGTTGCAAGTTTCAATCTCATATCAATCAAGATTATTGACCTTAAACATTAACATTAACAAATAGTATAATACAATTAAAAGAATATTCTCAAAAAAGGTCAATAAAACATCTGTGTCGTTTGGTAAAAACATTTTTTTTGTATAAAAATAAAATACTATGGAGTATGTAGTCATTTTCATTTACCCCAGTGCCGCAAAGGCTCCCACCTACGGTGGGGTAAGGGGGGGGGTCGGATGTACGCAGCCTTACCCTTGTACTAAAGCACAAAGAGACTGTTTCCGGATGACCCATAGTGAAAATCGCGTCCAAAATTGCATGGACTGACTGCTGCTCCATAACAAAGAAGCGCAGACAGTTTAGTGAGCCATTTTGCTTTATTCCATCATAATCTCAAGCCAAAAAATAATGAATCTTTGGCTCCATTGCAAATGATGGAAATACTATGGAGTATGTAGTATATGAAACAAATCTTGTTGCAGGCATGCCGAGTATTTTTGTGGCTACATCAATGCATAGATAATAGACACACACACACACATGCACAAATCGGTATATTTAGAGGCGGGTTCAATTCAATCAGATCGTTTTTTATTTAAAGGTGACAACTCCGGTACCTTCCTAAAAAATGGGGTACCGTACCTATCATTTATTTCATTGGACCACATTACTTTATCATTTTTAATTTAGATTTAAATAATTCAACTACTATATTCTCATTGGTCCATGTGGACAAAGGTATGGTACCTTATGGGTACCATAGAATCTACCTTATTTATAACCAAATGTTGGACCGAACAAAAATTTATGTTCGATTTAAGAAATTATTTGAGAATGTTTTTATGAAGGGTAGATTATGTCCACAAATATTAAATTTAAAATTCAATTGTGAAGTTAGTTTAATAAATTATTAAAAAATATTGAGTCAATATATATATATATATATATAAATGCAGTGTTTTTAATAATGTATTTTTAACTGACTTTCAATTGAATTTTAGGGTGAACTTTAGCTATGTTTAAAGAACCGGACCGGGCGGTTCAACCCGGAAACCGGCCACCCGGCCAATTATCCGGTCCGGATAACTTATTAACCGCCAATGGCTACGTTTGGTTAATAGCGGATTGACATCAATCCACCATTTTTTACAAATGAAAACACTGCATTTTGCAGCGCTTTGCTCCGAATCCGCCAAAAAACAAACCAAAAATGACCGACCCGCGTAGACCCGTACGGGAACTGACCCAGTCCAGACCCGCGAATCAGCAAAAAACCCAGAAGAAAGGTTCCCAGTGGAAATCGAACTCACGCCAGTAGCCTTCATTCGCCTTCCATTCCGTTGTACCTTGTTGCATCTTTTGTATTTGATAACTAATTAATTATTATTTAATTAATAGAACAATCATAATGCATCCGAACCAACTTTATTAATCTACTTGCCAATTATGTAAATCATCTTTCAAATATATTTGTTTAATATTTTTATCTTTTTGTAATTGGTGTTATGTTCATTTTTGTTATTCACATAATTTTAATTGTATTTTTAACTTTGTTAAAACCAATACAATAGTTTTTATTTTTTTCTTATATTGTATTATAAATTTTAAATTATGAGATAATAATATAATATAACTTTTTTATTTATGAATAAAATGTTTTACTAGAAAATAATAATATGTATATTTAATTATTACTGTTGATCGGGTTTCGGATCGTTGGGCTGACCCGTACGTGACCCAGTCATCTGTCCGGGTCACTTCCCGGTCTGGTTCTTTAAACATAGAACTTTAGTCGACATAATCAATATATGTACGTACACCTCATGAAGAACATGTTCACCCTAGCTAGCTACATAACTTGATCAAAAAATTCCACCGAAAGCACCTCAAATGGAGGTGGGCGGAAGGTGAGTCGGGAGTGATGAGAAAAGTTCTCCATATATATATGCAAATATTCCAAATGATTACTTGCTTTTTTTCTTGGCAATGTATGTTCTCTTGAATTTGATCATTATATATATAACATGGTAATTGTGTTGTCCCTTAGATGGCAACATTAGCAGAATACTTTGGACTTGGAGAGCAGAAACACAGGTTAGTTAGAGAGCATCATCTCATCTCATCTCATGCATGCAATATAATACTGTATAGTATATTGTGATGAGAATTTGAAAGTAATGATGTGGTTGGTTTTGCCGCAGGAGCTTGGATGATGTTCGGATGAACTTGGAGGTCCTCAAGCATTGTGCCACAGTAATGTTTTTGGTAATAAATTAAAATCTTCAAAATGCATGTCCTGCCTTCACATGCATGCATGCATGCATATATAATTAATTAATTAAGGAACTAGCTAGCTAGCTAGGGTTGTTTATGAACACCAAAATTAACTAAAAAGTCGTGACTACTATACATGCATACATATACCTGCAGGAAGCGAGCCACTTGGATTTGATGAACAACAATGTGCTTGGGCGGCCTAACGTTATGACAAGAAGCAGAACTACCGATGCGGCAATGGTATTATATATACTCCCTCCCTCCAATATTAAACCATTCATATCTAAAAATTATATATAAAACTTATACAACATACGTAATAAACTAACATGCATTTCAATTAATATGTAATGTAATCTTTATTACGGAGTAATAATATATATATTTATTTATACTAATGATAGGACGAAAGCTGTCACACTTCATCATCACCAATGTCAACAAGAAGCGCCAAAAGGATTTGATGCATATATATATATATATTGAAACCAATAACGTACGGCCGCTATCAACAGCATGCAACTGCGGGCGGGCGGGCATGCATACTTAATTATTAGCTCACACCACTTTAGAATGCATTCTTTGATTTTTATTTAACTCAAATCGGTTATCATTCAATTCTCTAGCTCCTCTCATCTTTCTCCACCTGTAAATGCTTCATCTAGCTTGTGCCGCAATTCTGTATATATATATGTACCAATATAATATTGGGAATGGTACGTAAAAGTGTTGTAATAACTACCAAAAACTTCAATTATATATATGTACCGCACTGCCCGTATATTGATATTGAATAATTTAAAGCTAGATTCTATGCTACCCATAAGGTACCATACCTTTGTCCACATGGACCAATGAGAATGTAGCAGTTGAATTATTTAAATCTAAATTAAAATGATAAAGTGGTGTGGTCCAATCAAATGAATGGTAGGTACGGTATTCCATTTTTTAGAAAGTTACCGGAGTTGTCACCTAATTTAAATATAAATAAATAAATCGTGAAATAATGATAGGAATGGTACCTCACTTTTTGTTGAGTACTTTCGGCTCACATTTTGTAAATTGATGTAGAGTATGTTTGTCAAATGGCTTATGAGCCAACTTTTAGCTTGTTTGACCCATTTGAGCCGTTTGATTAGTCAAAGAAGCTAATAATAATGTTTGGTAAATGACTTTTAAAATTAGCTTGTTGAGTTTGAAAAACTGAAAAAATGGATGGTTGAAGAAGCTAAGGGGAGCAGCTTCTTCATTTGGCTGGTTCAATTTATTCCCGTAAGGGTATAACTCAAGAGAAAAATATCTCCCGTAAGACTAAAACTTCATACATTTCCCAATGTATGACCGTGTCCTTTTTATTCCTATTTTGATGCATCCACGCTATGCATGATCATTTAATAACGTTTTTCCTTGTTTTCTATTCCGTCGTTGCCCTCAAAACTTCAATGAAATAAGATCGCAAGTTTAATCCTGATTTCTCGGATGTGATAAACATACATGACATTGTACTGCACATATGTATTAATTTATATGATAACCGTTTTCATCATTTTTATTTTATGTTTTTTGGAACGTCCTTTTCTTCCTTCCAGGATCACCATTTCTGATCCGTTACTTTGTTCCCATTTAAAGATTATCCTAACTTCAATAATTACTTCCCCATATTTAAATTGTACTCCATATTAGTTACCATATATGCAGTGGTGGAACTAGCCTGTGGATCTCGGAGGGGCACATAATGGAAAAAAAAGGTCTTCAACAAGGCAGGGACAGTGGCTTGCTACGACCCTGGATTTCCGGTCTCCGACAAGATAGATGGTGGGAAGAGGAAGTACCGAAGAGGCTACGACGTTGCATACTATGAGCCGTTCAGAAGATTCTGTGTCCGCCTTGTAGGCCGTTGTGGCTCGCTACGCAGCAGAGGTCTCCAATAGGTGGCAAGGCAAACGGGTTTTTATTTTATTTAATTTTTATTGTTATTTTAGTGGATTAAGGAATGTCGCAATAAATATAATGTTGGAAAAATGACATGTACTTGTATATTACTAACAGAGTTTCCCCTAACAAAAATACGACTAGTTATGTTTTTGGACAAAAATATGACTAGTCACTGAATATGTCATTCTTTAGATTTTTTTTTAAAAAAGATCTATTTTAACATTTGAATTTAATTAAGTATTACCTATGTTCCACTAACATTGGGACAAGAAGAGGTAACACGCTTATTAAGAAAAGTAAATTTATGTGGTTAATATTGACTTGATAAAATAAGAATAAAGTAAGAATGATTTAGAGCCACATAAACTTTATAAAATTTGGTATGAGATAATTTTAGTGGGGTTTCCCCAAAAAAATGTTAAAATGAAACAATCTTACAGGGACGGAGAGAGTAATATTCATGAATAAAGGTTTTGAGATGCAATATGACTTTATAATACAAGGTGTAATTCTATATACTCCTTATAAACATTTATTCACCCATTTCATCCCCACCCCACAAAACTAAAGCCTAATACTCCCAGCCAATTCAACCTAGGGACATACTTTGTATAATAAACATACTTTGTATAATAAAATGACATGCAGCTGCCACCTTCATGTATCATTGGGAAAATAAGGCCCAACCATATCACTAAAAGGAGCTTCACCTTTGAACACCTCATCCTTATTCCAAGAAGTCAAACACTAGGAGCAGTAAGCAAATGGGTGACTGGATTATAATACATACATACATATACATACATAGAGAACCGCAGGGCCGCAGGGGCACAAGCCCCTCCAGACTCCTCATTAGTTCCGCCACTGCATATATGTAGTGATGCATAAAGTTATTGCACACTTTTTAATGTCCTAATTTTATATTCCTCTTCATATTATTGTTCTTTTAAAGATTACACGGTCCATGACTAATCTTTATACTACTACATTTTTAGACCATTAATTTATTTTTACTTTTCGTATGACATTTTTTCGGGGGGGGGGGTGGGGGTGGGGGGGGGGGGGGGGGAATCCCCAAGATAGGAGTACAAATGTTTGAAAAAATTAAAATAGAACTTTTTTATTTTCCAAATAGGAGTAATTACTGCCAAACTTGAAATATACTGTCAAGTTTAAAATCTGGTATTGCCAAAACATGACAATAATTACTCTTATTTAGAGAATAAAAACATAATAGTCATATTTTATAATAATGTCTAGTTTAATGCCCACCGAAATGACTAGATTTACTATCCTATCTCCAACTCATATGGAATTTGAGATTCATTGTCCCAAATTCCATCTTAAAATAATGCCCTAGTTTAATGCCCTCCGAAATTCCAAGTACTTACTGTCCTAGTTTAATGAAGAGCAACTTACTGTACTCAATTGCGTAGAAATTCAAATGCCACCACATTAAGAATACCGAGACCAACAAAACTACCTCATCATGTCAAAAAATCTTTGATATGAAGTATTTTTTACACAGACCACATCAGTCTTGTTCAGCGCTATCCTTTGCTTCCATTGTCGTCCTTTTATTTCTAAGAGGTTCTTTCCGGTGATGTACGTCTCTTTGACATTTTTGGGAAGATCAATAGCTTTTGGCAAGAGTTAATGCGTTCAAACCATCTCCTAAAAATACGCTACTTTCTGTCTTAAGAAAACTCCATTTTCTATTTAGTGACCAAATTATAGAGGGCATCAAAGGAATTTACCTCTGAGCGTATTAAATGGAACATGCCTTGCAATGCTTAATTAGTCATACGAAGCATGGGTGAGTTTTTTAGTCATACTTTGGGAAAACCTTTATCTTTTAGTAATATCTACGTAAATTTCCCATAACTCAAAGCTCCCAAAGTGATTGCATATAGCTCCAATTTATTATTCCCATTGTGGTTTTGCTCTTTCTTTTTTAACTTAGGTTATGTTGATTGGCACAACGAGCTGAAACTCGAGGCTAATGTTTGAATTATGGGCTATTGTCTGAACTAAAACCTATTGTCTGAAACTGAAGTTTCAAGAGCTTAATCTGAATTACCAACTGAATGAAGTAGATCCGTTTGATAAAAAGAGCTGAAAATGCCAGAATAATATAAAGTTACATTAAAGGGCATATCATTTGATTTTTAATACTTCATCTTCGGCCTCGATTTTTCTCACTGCTGCTAAATAAATAACATTATACTCCGTATAGATTACGAGGCAACAAATGAACGAATATAACATCAACAAAAGTATCCAATCCCCCATATAAACTTTTGATTATGAATCCTGTACACAAAGCACAAACAATTAATTCTCTCAAATTGTTGGTGGTCAAGGGTTGACAATCCCTCTGCTAATCTTCACCAAGTGAAGTGACAAAAGTGTATTGCAGATCCAAATATGCTAATAAAAAACCATACATATAAATCATACTAATCTAATAATCACGGATGTTGGATTTAACTCCTAGAATTTGAGCAACCAACATAGAACAGCCTAAAAGACCAAGATCCTTGTCGTCTGCCAACCTTGCTGGTCTTTCCATCTCCAGCACTTGCAGCAGTGTTGTCTGCCCGTAACACACTTTCCAATTCCATCCTCACCGTTGGGGTCCATCTCCATTTGTGCCGCACTTTCCAACCCTTTCCATCGTTTTTTATAGTACCCTTTCCAGCGTTGTTGTTACGTTCCGATTCAATAATTTAAATGGGAAGTGTCGGACAAAAAAAGAGAAGAACATGGAGGTCAATTATAGTTTGTTAGGCGAAAGAGAAGAATGGTAGGCAGGGATAATTTAGGCATGGAAGGGTATTATCTGATCGACTGAACGGAAACGCTTGGCTTCATAACATTTCTAATCAGTTAATTTTTATCAGCTCCAGCTAGGTTCAGTCTCATATCCAAACAACATCATTTTTCTATTTATGGGCTGAACTTTAAAAAATCCAGCTCATTATGAGCTGAAGGTGTACGCCAAACATAGCCTTAGTCAACGCAATTATTTTGCTTACCAAATTTTCTTCTTTTCACTCCTTTTGCTTTCATTGTTTTGAGTTAGCCTTTTTTTTAATTAATCATTAAAGTAATATATAGTAATAATTACTCTATATATTTTAAACAACACTTTTTTAATCAAATACGTAGTACTATCTAGACAAATAATACGAAGTATATGCTTAACTAATATTTTATATTATTAGTTATGCTCTCTATCTTGAATTAATTTGATATTTTTGGATTAGATGACTCAGTGATTATAAAATTAGATACTACTCCCTCTATCCCGAAATTATCTTCATTCTTTCCTTTTCGCTCCGTCCCAAATTTATCTCCATTTTCCCTTTTTAGTAAAGAATATGTGGTTCACAACCATTCTTACACATTTCTCTCCTCTGCACAACTCTCCACCACACAAATCTCACTATCTTAATCCCCGTGCCTGGTCAAAACCGAAGTTAATTATGGGACGGAGGGAGTATAAATTTGTGTAGTATGATGAACATTCGATATATCAAAGTAGATATTAAAATAGATTTTATTCAATAAATTTTAAAATTTCTAGTTATAAAAATGATTTATATTATTGAAGTAACAATAGTTATAAAATTTTCATTCTTAGCAATAATAAAATACAATGAGTATTATAATGTCTTTATATGTCTTTTTACATTCTATCAGCCATTTCGAAACAGCCAATTTTACCAAACAGTTATTTATAATCAATTAACATAACCAGTCGGTCAAAACAACTAACACAACCAGCCGTTAGAAAACAGCTGACACAACCAGTTAACAGCAACATCTAATAGCCATTTACCAAACAATGGGCTAATGTTAGACCGGATGGATTATGTCAATAAAAACATGTACG